AGTGTGGCGGATGAGAATCCCAAGGCTGTTGATAATGAGTATGGAGATTAGACTATTGTCACTAGAAGGAGGAGACCAAATTCGACCAGGGTGAGAACTAAGCCTTAGGTGTCCGCCAATGGGCAAGCTGGTCCGGCTATGAAGGCTGCCAGTAATGCTAGAGGAGTTTCAGTAGAGAACCAAGCTATGGATGAGACTCCTTATGGAGAGAGTAATGCTGGGCTTAATGATATGGATAAAAGCTCGACTCTTAAGGGTAGAGCTGAGCTGAATGGGCTGTATAATGGGGAGGGGAGGCTATAGAATAGGGAATAACACGATTTGTTGATCTCTCCTGATTATTTGAAAAGGCTTGATGCATTAGGCAAGAATCCTACTCCTAGCATATTAGGTAGAAACCCGGATACGGATGGGCAAGTTCAGCTTGGGTCTTGTAGTCTGGTTCTGACACAACCTCAAGATACTAATTTAGATGGTGGTGGGAGGTTAGCACATTCCGGTTCGCTTTCTAGTAGCAGTGTGCCTCAGGGTGATATGAGGGTGTCTGAGAATGTTTTGGCCCAGGGGTCAAAGTCTCTGACTTTTGTGAAGAGGAGGAATCGTAGGGACCAAATGGATTCTCCTGCTCAGATTTTGGTATCAAAAGTTTTGAAGTTCTCTGGGCTGAAATCCAATGCTAAAGGTAAAGAATGTGCACGCTAAGGACTCTAAAGGTCAGCGCACTAAGGAACTGGGTCACATTGGCCCTTTGCAAAAGCTACCGGGTGTTAGTAGAAATAAGGAATCGATGGATGAGTTGGCTTCTTCATCCATCGAGTAATTTGTCAATGTTATTGATAATTATGTGGACGGCAAGATTAAGGAGGGGGACTTTGCTGTCCAGTGGCAAGAGGTTTTTTCTGAAGTGTTTTGTGGCGGGGACGCTTCCCCTTTGGTGGATAATACTTAACATTATATGCTGAAATTGCAGAGGTGCCCATAAGAAGGAGACGAGAAATTACTTATGGAACCTAATTGGGAAACAAGACATTAGTTTTAATGGTCTAGTTGAGACCAAAATTGAAACTTTCTCTAGGACGGATATTGATAGTCTTGCTGGAAGAAATTGGGAATTCAGTTATCAACCTTCGAATGGGAGAGCAGGTGGTATCCTTGTAATGTGGAAGAGCTCTGTGGGTTGCTTTCAAGTGATATTTCAAACCAAGCAGTGCATCATGGGGAGGTTTTGAAGTTCTTCTGCTATTGAATGGGAATTAGTTGTGGTCTATGCTGATAAGGATAAGTATATCAGGAGACAAGTTTGGGAAGATATTTCTCAACATCATACAGTGGAATCTCCCTTGGTGGTTGGAGATGATTTTAACTGCATTTTGTCTTAGGAGGACAAAAAGGGTGGGAGGTCGTTCCACTATTCTTTGGCTGCTAGTGAGATGGGTGAATTCATGGTAGCTAATGGCTTGATTGACCCAGGATTTTTTGGTCCAATGTTCACTTGGACTAACAATAAAGATGCAAGAAGTCGAATATAATCTCTACTGGATAGGTTTTTGATCAGTTCTTCTATTATTGACTATTTTAAGGGATTGAAGGTTAAACATCTGACAAGGTTAGCCTCTAACCACTGTCCCATTCTTTGCTCCATTCATGAGGGGTGGAAGAGAACCTATTCTCACTGGATAAAGTTCGAAGATGTTTGGGCCAGTTTTCCTAAGGCTTGGCACTTGGTGTTGGAAAAATGGAAGGTGAATGACACGAAATCTGAAGCTTCTAAATTGCAGAAAAAGTGTCAAAGATCCTTAAAGGCTCTATTCATTTGGAGCAAGAACAAATTCAATATGTTAAATTAGTTGAAGGAGGAGCTGGACGGTGAGATCAGATGTTGTAGGAATTAGAGTGCTTTCCGCTCGGGCTCTCTCATATTCAAACCGAATCCTTGAGGTATAAGGTTCAGTTGTTAAATTCTACTCTCACTCGTATTATGACGTGGTGGAGACAATGCACGAAAGTTAAATGGATTGAAGAAGGGGATGAGAATACCCGCTTCTTTCACTCCATGGCTTATGCTAGGAGGCATTCCAATTTCATTGAAAAACTGAAGCAACCGAACGAGCAGATTGTTACTGAGCAGATGAAAATTTTGAAGGTGGTTCACAATTTTTTTGAATAGAAGTGGTGTGGGAATCTTATTAATAGAATGGGTGGCCCTTCCTCGAATCCCAATTTGCTAATATGGCTCGGTTTGTTTACTTACTGGATGGTGAGGTCACTTGTGAGGAAATATGGCAAGTTATTTGATCTTTGGGGCGGAACTGAGCACCTGGTAGAGATGGTGTCACGACATCATTTTTCAAGTCCTTTTGGGATATTGTAGGAGAGCAGGTAATGTTGGCATGTTTGGAGTTTTTCTCAACTGGGCGTATGGAGCCGGGATGGAAGGAGATAGTGGTCGTTCTGCTGCCTAAAACTAACAATCTGGATCACCCTTCTATGTTCAGACCTATTAGTATGTACCAAACTATTTATAAAATTGTTGCCAAGGTCTTAGTTAATCATATTAAAGGTATTTTGCCTATCCTTATCTCTGAAGAATAAGTAGCTTTTGTTCAAGGTTGGTCGATCTCGGACCACTGCTTATTGGGGTAGGAGATTATGCACAAGTTTAAGGTTTCCAAATCATCCAAAGGATGGATGGCCATGAAGGTTGATATGGATCAATCCCACAATAAGATGAGTTTGAGAACGCTTGATTTGGTATTGATGAAGATGGGCTTCTCCCAACTATTTCGCTCTTAGGTGCTGAGTTGTGTTAGAGCTCCCCATTTTTTAATTTTAGTAAATGGTCAGCTAACAAATGGGATTACAGCTGGGTGTGGGTTCCAGCAGGGATGCCCACTCTCACCATACTTATTTATTTTGTGCTCGGAGTTGCTGTCGTTGCATTTCCACCAAAATTATCAGGAGTTGGGAGTGCAGATCAGGGCGGGGGGACCTCCTGTCTCCCATCTTCTTTATGATGATGATGTTTTAATTTTTGCAGGTGCTACCATTCCCAATGTTAAGAAGAACTTGACTATTTTGGAATACTGCTGAGTATGGATGGGGCAAAAGATCAATAAGAACAAATCTACGATCTTATTTAATAGGTTGACTTCCTCTACTACTAAAAATCGCCTTGCTAGGCTTGCTGATTGTCTTGGGATTAAGTTTGAGTTGAGAAGGTTGAAGAAGGCGGATTTCATCCCTCTCTTATAGAAAATTCGTGTACACACGCTATCGTGGGGCATCAGACATTTATCCATGGCGGGTAGGATCACAATGATCAACTCTATTTTGCTTACTTTATAAGTTTATGTGGTGACCCATGCACTGGTGCCTAGAGGTGTTTTAACTAAAGTGGATAAGATCTGTCGCAGCTTTCAATGGGACAAGGACCATAACCATAAAAGCTTACACTATGCATCATGGGGGAACATTACCAGATCGAGGCACTTGGGTGGGCTCGATTTTCACGCTAGCTGCAATTAGACCGGCCCCTTGAGGACTAGAATTACTTGGGACTTCTTAAACACGCATCTCAATTTGTTCCAAAGGTGTTTGAGGCACAAGTACGGGGCGTGGCCATGGATGCAGGATCACAAACAAGGAGACTCAATCGGATGGAAGGTGATATGCAATGGGGTGAACAGTTTGGTTAACTGCGTACGCTGGAAGGTGTGTAATGGTATGGATGTTGATGTGGTCAATCACGTGTGGATTTTTGATATTGCCATTGCTTCCTGGCCTACCTTCTGCAATATCAAAATTATTGATGGCTGTATGGTGGAAGAGTTAATTACGACAGAGAAGAGGATGAATAGGCCTAAACTGCTGCAGTGCTATGGTGAATTCCTGGCCGATAAGATCTGTGATGTCAAAATCCAGGAAGACCTTAATGCTGATTCCCTAAAACTTATCAAATGCCCCTTAGGCTCCTTAATTTTGGCTGTCTGCTATAATAACTTATTCAAGGGGAGGAGGATTCGGTATGCACAATTCTCAAATTAGGATTGAGACCCCATGAATGGGTATTTTGGTGGAGGGTTTACAAAGACTTGGTCCCAACCTGTACGTGGCTCCATAGATGTGGCTTAGGTGCAGATTTGTTGTGCCCGGTAGGCTGTAATCAACAGGAAAACTTGGATCACATTACGACTCAATGCCAACAGCTCTTAGATATTTTGAAGTGCTTGGACGAGTGGGGATTTTACACCCCTAGGTTCTCATCCTTGGAATAGCTACAAGTTGCTTTGAGGAACTGCATCAACGCCAATGAACATTGGGTCCTGATGTACTGTGGCGCTGTCTATAATAATTGGGGTAACAGAAATGCATTTAATTATGGCAAGGCAAAGAGCTCTCCTATTGTGATGGCCGTCAATATTCTTGAATCCATCATGCAAAGTTATTTTTCTTGTAGCCTGGAGCAACAGTTCACCAACCAATCCCTTGGATTGCTTTATTCTTCTTCTTGGTGTCCCTTCCCTGTTGGTTGGTTGAAAATTAATGTGGATGGAGCATTACTTAGGTCCAACGCTGGAGGGATTGGTATAGTAATTCGGGATAGTTACAACCATTTGGTGGTTGCGGTCGGTTGGAGTATTACTCGTTAGGATAGTACACATGTAGAGATGATGGCGGTTCACTATATTGAGAAGCTCCTCCTTTATTGGATGTATGAGGTCGATGGGGTTATTATTGAGGGGCACAACGCAAGTGCGGTGGAACATATACAAAAGTTTAAGCAACAAGAAATGTGGAGGCTTCGGCCGGAGGACGGTGACAAGCTTGGTTGGCCAAACTTATTCCAAAAAAGGTCCTATTTGTTCATACTAATAGGGAATATAACAAGGAAGCTCATTTTTGCGCTCAAAGAGCGATTGAGAATACTTTTGTTTGGGATATAGGAGACACCCTCAATATATGTGAGACCTCGTTCCCTTACTGTTCCTCTCTGATGGTATCAGAGCAGTGTTATTGGAAGAATGGATTGTTACCAGAGTTGTAGGATTGAATTGAGAATTGGGTAGATTGGGTAGCTTTAAGAGCTTCATTGGCATACATCGTTGCATGTGTGTATCATTTGTTCTGAATTGTGCAGGTGAAAAGATATGGATCATCCAGCAGAATCCAGTGTACCAAATGAGCAACACAGCGCAGCCCCAGTACCTTCAGAGAGTATGATGCAGTTGGCTACTGCGATTGCACATGTAATGGGGGATGCTCAGAGCAAAATGAGTGGTAGCAAAGAGGAAGAAGTGGATAGACATATGCAGATGTTTCATAAGCTGAGGCCTCCGTTGTTCAAAGGAGGTGTGGGACCCCAGGCTGCTGAGGATTGGATCCTGAGGATAGAAAAGATTTTTGACAGCATGCAGTGTCCGGGGAATCGAAAAGTACCATTGGCTGTATTTCTGTTTGAGGGTGAAGCGGAGAGATGGTGGATTGGACAGCAGAGAGAGAAATTCCAGGGGAAGACTAATGCTGAGATCACCTGGGACGAGTTCACTGCAGTGTTCAGGATGTGGTTTGTACCACCGTCAGCTCAGCGACAGATGCAGGAAGCTTTTATGAGATTGGAGCAAGGCCGCAAGTCAGTGATGCAGTACGAGGCCGAGTTTACTGCACTTGCGAGGTACGCTGCTCATCTGATTCCTACTCCCGAGGAAAAATGCTATAGATTTCTGCAAGGATTGAACAGAGAGCTGAGGCATCCACTAGTACCCTTCCGGATACATGAGTTCTCTGAGCTAGTGGAGCGGGCCCGATTGATAGAGATTGACTTGGCAACACCGGTATCGAGGTACGAGGATACCAGGAGGAGGAGAGATGAGGTACGACGAGATGATTCTGGTAGAGACAGAGATAGAGAGAAGAAAAGCAGATATGATAGTTCGAGAGGATCTGCATCGGGATCTGTATCGCGATCTGCATCGGTAGTATCGTCTGGTAGTTCTAGAGC